CCTTGCATGCAGGCGGACCAGCACATGGGTGGCTTGAGATCGCTCAGGAGATGACAGTCCTGGTCAGACACTTCCTGATTGCCTAAGCAGCCTTTTTTCCAAACAGATTTGTGTATCCCACATGCCCTTGGTCATCGTGCTTGTAGTAAGCGCGGTTAAAGCCCTTCCCAAATCTTAGCTTGTGAAGCCAAGCCATCAATGTAGCAAATGTACTTTATGGACTTAGCTAAACAAAGTAAATGCAGGTTGTTCATTTTTGGCCCTTGACTTGGGACCAGTGAAGTGACAGAAGGGTCCACCTGGTTGGAAGTAGTCCTGCCAGTATCTCTCCTCCAAGAAAGGTTGTAACTATCCATGCCTACACTATCTGCTATAGAGTGACTGTGGGTTAGATCAGATTTTCATCTTACTCAGACTGGTAGCTCTGAGTGTTCTTTCCCGTATGTTTTTAATGTTAGCTTTGTAGAGCTAAAATTTGACATTAAGCTAAACAAATCCTTATTTCATAGCATGCACATAGGTAGAGTCCCGATATTAGCTTTTATGGATGTGTTAATTCCAATTAAACAACTCTCATTTAGACATGTACGGAGAAGAACCCAACTCTGTCTTTAGACGTACTGCCCAACCTCCCTAATTGTTGAGAACTTGCTCCCTTCACTTGCCAGGATTTTTCTAGGATCTACAGCTTCCACTTAGCTCTATTTCAGTCTGAACCTGTTTCCTTTAAAAACCGATAAGGCATTTTAGGCCATGAGAGAAAATTTATTTCCTCTTTCTACAGCCTTTCTTTTGCTGTGGTGTGTGGCTTAACTGAGCAGAAGGAAAAAGTTCTATATTCAAGTTTGGGCTCCTGAGCGTTTTCCAAGCCTAAGCCAAAAGGCTGTAGGGAATGCCGTAGGACACTGGAGCTGCAGGAAGGTATCAAGGGTATCTACGTATATCTCCTCAGGGTCCAGTGATTAGCAGCATAGGGTTTTCTGACTGTCAGTTTTCTTTAATAACAACTTGTGAATCTAAATTCTGCAAACTTGCATTTTTTAAAAATTTCTACTTAACCTTTACAACACATTTTATGGTGGTGAATCCGATAATTTAATATAAAGCTTTATATGAAGTGTTTTCTTTTAAATCTATTCTGATAATTTACTTGGATGAGATTTGATTTTGTGTTACGAAAATTAATATTGCATCTTCTGTACAGCACCCATTTATAGACTATCCTAACTTTTTCTCAGTGATTTGGGTTTTTTTGGGGGGATGGTGGTGTAAGTTGTTGGGTTTTTTTTTTCCTTATAGAACTAGAAAAGCTACTTAATGTTAACATTTTTTTTTCAACTTAACAATGTCACCACAGAAGGAGGCATCCAGGGTCAGTGAAGTATTTGAGCTTCATAATATTAGTAATAAAGTGAAAGGATTGCAGTATACAAAGTATTTATGAACAGATGAAGGAAAAAGATCTAATGGGACAATGACAAGAGAGCAAAGACAAGAAAGTTAACTATTTGAATAGTTAAAAATACTGTAAGGTAAATGCGCATAGTTTAGTCAAACATTAGAGCTAGACTGAATAACAGAGGGCAGTTGAGCAAGCAGTGTGAAATAAAAGGTCAATGTTCATGCACAACAGTGCACACTGGGACCTGTACTTACATCTAATAAGCAATTATGTGGGTAAAATGAACAGCATTCACTCAAAACCACACAAAACTTAATGATTTTATTTTTCTTGGCTAAAAAAAAGACAATTTTCCTAGAATTTATATTAGTTTGGTTCTGTCTTCTTCCCCCATGCAACCTTGTATCATCTCATAAAATCATCATGTGAAATACTTTCAGTTCAGGACTTCCATCATAATTTTTAGTAGCTGTAAGACTTAACTGCAAAAAAATAGCCCAATTTCAGTCATCACACTTAGTTTCTTCATCTAAGAAGCTGAGGACAACTTCCTAGTACAGGAGATGGAGAGCCTAACCAGAGGAGAGGCACTGCTGGACCTGTTGCTCACTAATGCAGAACTTACTGGAGAAGTCAAGATTGGAGGTAGCCTGGGCTGCAGTGATCATGTCCTGGTGAATTTCTCTGTCTTGAGGGGTACAGCATGAGCAAAAAGTAAAGGATCCCAAACCTCAGAAAAACAACCCTTTGGCTGTTTAGAGCACTAGTTTTGAGACCATTTAAGGAACCTGAATGTGCTTAAGTCCATGGCACCTGTTGAGATGTGTATTTGGTTTGCTTGGTGAGGTTTTGGTAGCTACCAGAAGCTTCCCCTCTATCCGATAGAACCAAAGCCAGCCAGCTCCAGGATGGACTCACTGCTCACCAAGGCTGAGCCCATCAGCAGTGGTGGTAGTGGCTCTGATATAGCACAGTTAAGGAAGGAGAAAAGAGCTGCTGCAAAGCAGCAGCCAAAAACAGGAGTGAGAATATGTGAGAGCAACAGCTCTGCAGACACCAAGGCCAATGCAGAAGGAGGAGAGGAGGTGCTCCAGTGCTGGAGCAGAGATTTCACCTGCAGCCCATGGTGCAGCCCATGGTGAGGCAGCTGTGCCCCTGCAACCCATGGAGGTCCATGAAGGAGCAGATCTCCACCTGCAGCCCATGCAGGACCCCATGCCTGAGCAGGGGGATGCCCAAAGGAGGCTGTGACCCTGTGGGAACACTGTGCTGGAGCAGGCTTCTGGCAGGAGCTGTGGCTGCTTGGAGAGAGGAGCCCAAACTGGAGCAGGTTTGCTGCAGGAATTGACCCTGTCGGGACCCACACTGGAGCAGTCTGTTCCTGAAGGACTGCACCCATGGAAGGGACCCACGCTGGAGCAGTCTGCTCCAGAAGGACTGTACCCATGGAAGAGACCCCACGCTGGAGCAGGGGAAGAGTGTCAGAAGTCCTCCCTTGAGGAGGAAGGGCCAGCAAAGACAACTTGTGATGAACTGACCACAACCCCCATTCTCTGTTCCCCTGCTTGGCGGAAGGAGGTTGACAAATCGGGATTGAAGCTGAGCCCAGGAAGAAGGGAGGTGTGGGGAGAAGGTATTTTAAGATTTGGTTTCCTTTCTCGTTTCCTGCTCTAATTTCATTAGCTATAAATCACTTTCTTTAGTCCAAGTTTGCCCATAATGGTAATTAACAAATGATCTCTCCATGCCCTTACCTACATCCACAATCCTTTTGTTGTATTTTCTCTCCCCTGTTCAGCTGAGAAGGGGGAGTGACAGAGTAGCATTGGTGGGCACCTGGAATCCAGCCAGGGTCAGCCCAGTGCAGATGCATCTGTGGGTCCTGAGGAAACTGGCAGGTAAAGTGGCTCAGCCACTATCCATTGTATTTCTGAAGCTGTGGCAGTGAAGTTCCCCAAGACTGGAAAGGGGAAATATAATCCCCATTTCTAAAAGGAAAAAAAGGAAGACCCAAGGAACTACAGATCAGTCAGTCTCACCTCAGTGCCTGGCAGTGGAGTGGGTCCTTCTGGAAACTATGCTAAGGCACATGGAAAATAAGGTGACTGCTGACAGGCAGCGTGGCTTCATAGAGGGCAAATCATGCCTGACCGCTTTGGTGGATTTCTATGATGGGGACACAACACTGGACGACATGAGAAGAGCAACCGACTTATTCTACCTGGACTTGTGCAAAGTGTTCAACACTGTCCCACACGACATCCTTGTCTCTAAATTGGACATCAATTTGATGGATGGACCACTCAAAGAACTGTCTGGATGGCTGCATGCAAAGAGTTGTGGTCAATGGCTCAATGTCCAACAGGGTACCAGTGACAAATGGTGTCCCTCAGGGGTTGGTGTTGGGATGGATCCTGTTCAACATCTTTGTCACTGACATGGACAGTGGGACTGAGTGTGCCCTCAGCAAGTTTGCTGATGACACCAAGCTGTGTGGTTCGGTTGATACCCTGGAGGGAAGGAATGCCATCCAGAGGGACCTTGACACGCTTGTGAGGTGGGCTGATGCCAACCTCATGAAGTTTAACCATGCCAAGTGCAAGGTCCTACACCTGGGTCAGAGCAATCCCAGGCACAGCTACAGGCTGGGCAGAGGAGAGATTCAGAGCAGCCCTGCGGAGAAGGACTTGGGGGTGTTGATGAGAAGCTCAGCATGACCCAGCAGTTTGTGCCTGCAGCCCAGAAAGCAAACCTTGTGGTGGGCTGCACCAAAAGGACTGTGATCAGCAGGTCAAGGGGGGTTATTCTTCCCCTATACTCTGCTCTCGTGAGGCCCCAGCCTGCAGTAATGGGTCCAGCTCTGGGGCCCCAACACAAGAAGGACATGGATCTGCTTGAGGAGGTCCACAAAAACAATTAGGGATGCACCACCCCCTGTATGAGGAAAGGCTGAGATAGTTGGGCTTGTTCAGCCTGCAGAAGAGAAGGCTCCAGACTTCTCTAATATACAGAGAACCTATAGCAGCCTGCCAGTACTGTAAAGAGGACCTACAGGAAATATGAGGAGGAACTCTTTATCAGAAAGTTCAGTGATAGGACAACGGTAACAGTTTTAAACTGGAAGAGAGTAGATTTAAATTAGATATTAGTAAGAAATTCTTTACTGTGATGGTGGAGAGGCATTGGAACAGGTTGTCCCTGGCAGTGTTCAAGGCCACGCTGGATGGGGCTTGGAGCAATCTGGTCTTATGGAAGGTGGGGGATGTTGGGGGGGTGGAATTGGATGGTCTTTAAGAGCTGTTCCACTGGAAACCAGTTTATGATTTTATTAAACCCTTTCTTTTTCCATGAACTGAGAAATCACTGAAGTTACTACATCAATAAATCTGATTAACAAAAAGCATATTTTATTATCCAAGGTTAAACATTATTAATTCAAATCAGGAAAATTTTGTGCAGCCATGGACTACAAGGAGAGCTATAGAAAAGCAGGTTAGGATTAATTCGTAAGGTAACTGTTACTGATATTTAAAAGATTCGTCATAGAATGTAAGTATGTCAGCCTCCAAGTAAGAGCAGTTTCATTTAAAAATAATGACTACTCATGAAAGGCTTCTAGACGCATTCTGCCTGGATTTTCTGGATGTCTCTGAACAATTCCATGTCGCAGCAGCAACTCAAGATAAGGTGGCCAAAATGAGTCATCGATTGTTACATAGGGTTCATGCGGTGTGCTCAGTAATTTGTCTACAAGAATCTAGAAGAGCAAAAGAAGACAACTTAGGAAATGAACAGAACAGCTATATTTTTATCTCCTTAACTGAATTTATACAAGTTATTGTAGTAAAGATACTTACATAGGCAACATAAGAAATAAGACTGCAGAATTCTCCTTTACCCAGACCAATTTTTCCACTGTCAAAAATTATCAGAGGGTAATTTACAGAGGTATAACTGTAAATGCCTAAAATACCTGAACATGAAGGTGGCAAATCCTTACATAATTAATCCTTAAATCAGTGCCCATTAATTTAAGATTAAAAGCATTAAATAAGAGGGAAAACTAGATTTCATCACTTGCCTCAAAACCATAATGACTTCCTGTCAATAAATGGTATTTCTCCATGATCCTTTTGTATGTTAGCAGAGAAGAATGTTGTATAATTTTTCTAAATTTCACTATAAAGTTAAAAGTCATTTTAGACTGGGAAAAATTCTTTTTCCTGTATTTTGTGCCCTTCTGTGTGTAGTGTTAGAAAGAAATACGTTTGCAGTTGTGAAGTTAAACATCATAGTCCTAGCTTAACTTCTTCATATTTGCACATTAAATCTTCCTCCTCGTTTCATAAATGGATTATCCAAATTCATAATATCACTACTTTTTAGGGCAGGACAAGCACTTTACAATTCACCTCCTCCTGACCCTTCTTTACTCCATTGTTCCTATCTAAATATAGCATTAGTTAATGAAGTTAAAAACAAAGAAGAGTTTTGACTTTTTTTTTTTTCTGTTCCTAGAGACCACGTTTATGCCCTCCTAATATTGCTCATGGGGAATACTGCACACATTAGATTAAATAACCTTACTCATCCCACAGTGCTCTCTCTATTCATCCCATTAATTTAATCTTTCTACTCAGAGCTTCCAAGTGTTATAGCTTTCCCAATTTCAGTATGTACAAAATATTCAGTCTGCCCCTACTCTAAAGAAAAACTCCTCACTATCGGACTTAACTTTTTATTTTTTTACTCATTACTATTAAACAAGAAAAATACTGTTCTTCTTTTTCAGAAGATTCTAAAGTATTATAACTTGACATATGTTTGTATTGCAAACTGTTTTTCAAATCTTAAACTAGTTCACTAAATTCTCAACCAGAAAGGAATACTCCTCAAACTGTTTAAAAGAACAGCTCATTACTGGAATAAAAAGTAGTATAACAAAAATTCTGAAGTTTGCATGAGAAAAGAGGTTACTGCTTGCTTACTACTTACACTAACTTAATGAAGTAAGTACTGATATACCTAAATAATATAAATGTATATACCGAGCTTGTCAAAACAGATTTATTAAAAATGTACACTTTTATTATTTAACAAACACACACATGGAGATTGAGGAGACATGGTTAGGAACGCATGCACTAATTAGAATGCTGTGAATGAATTATGGCTGTACAACAGCAAATCCTAAATCTGTAATTATAATGCAAAGGTGAATTTGTATTTGTCTCTTTAAGAAAGCATTATCTATATCTAACATGACACTTTTGAAATTTAACAGGGACTTGAAGCTAAAACCAAGTTGCTCAACAGAAAAAAGAACAACCTCCCATAAAGCAAAGATAAGGGACATTGATAGATTACACCAAGACAGTTAAAATAAGTCAGAATTTTTGGAACTATGTTTTTCTAAATGTAAATCTGACATTACTTGGGTGTGCTCACATTTTGAGGAGATTAACAATATCAGAAAAATATGAAGGGCAATTTTAAAGCATTAGAAGAGCTTTAAATGTTCAATTCCATAGGGAACGTGGCTATTTTAAATTCTGTTTGCAAACTATACCTAATTTGGAATTAACAGACATGCTGAGATACTTGAAGCATGTAAAACTATTTTGATGATGTAAGTCCAAAGTCAGGACTTTAAAGTAAAACAATGTCATAGTGACCAGATCATAGCATCTTAATACCAGAACACTGTTATTAATCAAGTTTTCCATCAGGCGGGTGGAAGGGAGAAACCAAAACAATTTCCCCCAGGGAGGTCTCACATATAGGTGCTTACAACTGCCTGAAGAATTAGGATGGGGGACGAACAGGAAAATTCACTTCAAATGACACACTTAAATCAAGAAGGAGCAAGGTTAGTGAAATGATTATTAATGCTCCTTCAAAATTATGCTTTGGAGTTCAAATTAATTTTAATGAATTTGCAATGTGATTAAAATGTGCGATGTGATTAAAAATACTAAGCAATTCTGGCATACATACATGCCAACATATATGGCATACATGTAAGGCATATATATAAAACCAATTAGAAATGGATGAATCCAATTGATTTCCTCACTTGAGAATTCAGTTTATACACACAATTACACATTAAATAGTCCTTTTGTAACTATTATCCAATGACTAGAAAAAGGGAAATATAACCCCCATTTTTAAAAAGAGGAAAGTGGAAGACCCAGGGAAATACAGACCAGTCAGTCTCACCTTAGAGCTTCACAAGATCATGGAACAGATTCTCCTAGAAACCAAGCTAGGACACATGAAAAACAACAAAGTGACTGGTGACACCCAACTTGGCTTCATGAAGGGCAAATCATGCCTGACCAATTTGGTGGACTTCTATGATGGGGACACAGCACTTGTCTATAAGGGAAGAGCAACTGATACAGACTTGTGCAAGGCACTTGAAACCATCCTGCACAATATCCTTGTCTCTAAACAAGAGAATGTCTATGGAGAAACATAAATTTGCTGGATGGATCACTTGGGGGATAAAGAATTGGCTGCACCCAGAGAGTAGTAGTGGTCTACGGCTAAACGTCCAGCTGGAGACCACTAATGAGTGGTGTCCCTTAGAGGTTGGTGTTGGGATTGGTCTGTCTTTGTCAGCAACATGGACAGTGGGCTTGAGTGCACCCTCAGCAAGTTTGCCAATGACACCAAGCTGTGTGGTTCATCTGATATGCTGGAGGAAAGGGATTACATCCAGAGGGACCTTGCATGCCTTGACATGCTTGAGAGGTGGCCAGTGCCAACCTCATAAAGTCCAACAAAGCGAAGTTCAAGCTCCTGCACCTGGGTCAGAGCAATCCCAGGCACAGCTACAGGTTGGGCAGAGAAGAGATTCAGAGCAGCCCTGAGGAGAAGGACTTGGGGGTGCTGGTCGATGAGAAACTTAACATAAGCTGGCTGCAGTGTGCACTCGCAGCCCAGAAAGCCAACCGTATCCTGGGCTGCATCAAAAGGAGTGTGACCAGCAGGTCGAAGGAGGTGATCCTGCCCCTCTACTCTGCTCTCATGAGACCTTACTTGGAGTACTGTGTACAGTTCTGGTGTCCTCAACATAAAAAGGACATGGAACTGTTGGAACAAGCCCAGAGGAGGGCCACAAGGATGATCAGGGGACTGGAGCACCTCCTGTATGAAGACAGGCTGAGAAAGTTGGGGCTGTTCAGCCTGGACAAGAGAGGGCTGCGTGGAGACCTCATAGCAGCCTTCCAGTGTCTGAATGGGGCCCACAAGGATGCTGGAGAGGGACTCATTAGAGACTGTAGTGGGTAATGGGTAAATGGGCTAAATGTAAATGGTAATGGGCTTATACTAAAACAGGGGAAGTTCAGGTTAGGTATAAGGCAGAAGTTCTTTACTGTGAGGGTGGTGAGGCACTGGAACAGGTTGCCCAGAGAAGTTGAGGATGCCCCATCCCTGGCAGTGTTCAAGGCCAGGTGGACAGGGCCTTGAGTAATCTGGTCTAATGGGAAATGTCCCTGCACATGGCATGGTAGGTTGAAACTACATGATCTTTAAGGTCCTTTAGAACCCTAAACATTTTATGATTTTTTTTTTTCTGAAAAACTATTTTGCCATACAATTTATACTGAATCAGTAAGCATAGCACTTCTTTCCCTTAATATGAGCCAGTAGGGCTCATAAAACTCCTTGAAATAATTACTATAAAATTAAGAAATGAGGGATAATCATACTCTGCAGTAAACTGAAGATTTAGTTACCTAAACTATTACTGCACATTTTTTTTAAATGGGAGTTTAATTTAATAGGAATTAAAACAGAAATCTGATATAACATTTTTAAACATTCTACTTTTCAATTAAATACCTTAACTGTATGTCGTATGATGTTATTTATCTTATTACCATATTATGGTCAGATCTGAGTATTGGAAAATCCCCTGAATCTCTATATAACAAAGCCATCTCACCTCTAATATATCTTGCAGCGGTTTCAGTTCTACAACTGGCTCTTCTTGAGAGTTCTGCAACGATAACCACCCCCCAGATGAATTAACAAAACCCAAACCTAAAGTCAGGAAAAATATTAACTGACAAATAAAAATAATCACACAATTATTTGATTGCGTATTACACAACAGATGAAGAATTTTACTTAGGTTTAGTTGTGACAGAAATAACAAGGTAGTATTTAAATCTACCAGTTCAATATAATACACTTTAAATATAACAATTTTTTAATTAATTATTAAAGAGATTAACCTTAAATGATCAATGTATATCTATCTGGGTTTATGTTTAAATAGAACCAAGTACATTATATTCATAATGTACAGTGCAAAACATTCATGTGACCTGTTAGGAAAAAATGGCTTTTTGTGAACTTTAGGAAAATGTTTATAATACACATTTTGACACAGCTCAAGACTTCACTTTATAGTGCCTAAATATATTTCATTATTTGCTTACATTTGTTTAGTCTGATTTCAATTTTGGGAGAAAAAAAGTCTGTAATAAAATATCATTAGAAAATTACTTGTTTTAACAGCAAGCAAATCAATTAATTTCCCTATGAACTGATAAGGATTCCTTAGGCAGCAACACCAAGAAAACTGGTTATGCTGCTGCATGGTGAACCTGATTCTTTTATTTTTCTATTTTATCCTTCCCCACCCCCATCCACATCACATTCAACAAAATAAAAGAGATAATACAGCACTGGCAGGGCAGGGCTGCTCACTCAGCTGTGAGAGACTGGTCTGAAATCAGACTCCACTGTCCATTGTCTCAAAAACTGCTGAGAAAGAAGCTGAGATGGGATTCCACAGACCATTCTCTGAGAGATTGGTGTGAGGAGCTGAAATGGGACTCCACTGACCATTGTCTCAGAGATGGGTGGGGAGGAGCTGAGGTAAGACTCCAGGGTCCATTGCCTGAGAGAAGGGTGTGAGGAACTGAAATGGGACTCCATCATCCATTGCCTCAGAGATGAGTGGGAAGAACTAAGAGTCTTCTCTCCATTACCTCAAGGTCTGGTGTGAGGAATTGCTGCCCATTATCCCAAGAACTGCTGCAAAACTGGTCCACCAGGAACTTGTAATATGTGATATTAGGAACACAGGTACTCCCTCTAACCCATAAAAGGGGGAAAAGGTAATCACCAAAAAAACCCAAACAAAAAAAAACAAAAAAAACATCACCATGAAGGCAAATCCACAAAAGCACACCTTCAGAAGGACTACTCCAGAAGGACACTCCACGAGGACACCCACTTGACAGCTACTTCCAACAGCTATTACAGACTCTTGGGGACACTCTGCTCAGATACTGACTATGAACCCTAAAAGACTCGCACCGCTTCCGATACCAACTACAGACCCTGGAGGGCTCCCACTACTTCCTATACCGACTACGGACCCTGGAGGACTCCCACCACCTCCAACGATGCAAAGGATGTCCAGGACACAACTGGATCCACAGTGGTGACTACCTATATTTCTCTCTGCACCCCAAATTCTTCCTTCATGTCTATCTTTTTTCCCATTTTTTTAAGCAGGAAGCTCAGAATTTATTTAACTTAAGAGGCACCTTCTCCATTCCAAGGAGATTCTTGACATATTCTTCTTGACATAAAGAATATTTGTTAACATACAACTTTCCATACATCTTAACTTAAAAAAAAAAAAAAAAAAAAGGCTTTTTATCTGAGATTTAAAATGCACGACAATTCTTACTGCAACCACTACCTATAGTAAAAGTGTTGGGCCACAGCAACAGAAGCTAACCTGGGCTGCTGTGGTTCAATCTTCCTTCCCACTCCCAAACCTCGATGCAGGTGCCTGGTGAAAGGAGGGTGGAACCAGAACAGCAGTATAAGCAAAATATAATACTCTTGTTTGAAAGTGATTGAAAACGACTTTGAAAATGGACATCATGCTTTGAAGGCTCCATGTGATATTTTTCATGCAATATATATACTTCTGTGCAAATCTAAGATTTAATTTAACAATGATAGCAATAAAAAGCTCAGGGTTCATCAGTTGAGATTAATAGGAAGAAAAAAACAGGAGTGTAATTAGCTGCTTTTGTGATGACTCTAAACTAGCAGGTTTTTTGTTTTATAATATTGGTTTTCACCAGGTTCCAAAAAAGATGACTCCAAGTGTAAGCAAATACAGAAAACTGGTCTTACTACGATAACCCAGGGGAAAAAATAAAAAAATTACCTAACAGAAGAAGAATAAAAGAGCTTTTCTAGTTCAATTCACAAAACAAAGAAGCAGGGTGTACAAGATTGCTGTGTGTAAATATACAGGAGAAGTAAACACAAGAAAGAGCTATTCTAAGGACAATACTGCATGAGAATATATGGATGTGTTAGACACTAATAAATTTAGACTGGAAGTTTGGAGACTGTTTCTAAGGTACTAGAATAAACCCCAGTAGAAGCAGCAGTAATAAAAATAATTAATTTTAAAATAGAGCACAATTATATTAAAGAAATTATATTATGTGGTTGTCTGAAATAGTAGGGAAGTGGAATGAAGAAAAGCTTTCTATTTCTGTATTACATGTCTGAAAATCAAAAATTGACCCCTGCTTTTTTCCTAGCTTTTGTAGCTAATCTTTCAAATAGTAATGGTAAAGGTCTATTTTTACTGCAGATTTTAAATTTATTATGCAAAATACTCCCTATTTTCCCTACAGTTTTAAGGTAATTTTTGGTCCAGTTTGCCTGAACAGAAATTGGCGGTTAACATTCCAAACTGCACTGTAATTATAAACACTTGTCCTTATTATTGTTCCAAAAACATTGTTAGACAATTAAAATTTACTTTGCCAATGAAAACATGAATCCACTTGCCTAGTCCAGTAAAATAAAATGGAACAATTTGGAGTGAACCCCTCACCAATTCCAAATTTGGCACAGCTTGCAGTTCAGTAAGAAATACAATACATTGCTATGCATCAAACTGGGTAAAGTATATATGCATTAAAAGGAAAATACTCAGCTGGGAACAGCCTTAAATAATATAAATCAACCTGAAGAATATTAATATCAAACCTAGAAAATATAAAATATCAAACCTAAAGGATCAGGTGTAAGAACTATACTTACTTCAAAATAGAACTGCAGATTCTATGCTAGCGACTTAAAAAAGATCTTGCATCTAATTGAACATTCAAAATTTAACAGCTCTTGAGAAAATCTTACCTTCTTTCCAGCACTTCCACCTTTCTCTGGAGGAGGAAAATGTTCTTCCAGGAATTCCTCCAGAGCAGTCAGTAGTTTTTTCTTATATACCTTTAGTTCCAAGATTTTCTTTCTCTGTTCATGAAATGCTCTAGAAATAGAAACATAGCAGTACAATATGAAATTTAATAAAATAAATAAGAAGTTCTTAACCAAAATAAAATAAATAACCAAAGTTCTTAACCAAAAGAATCTCTTGCTTTCTATTGTTATAAGTTCAACACTTTGAATCACAGGATATTAGCAGATAATAGCAACATTTTGTGTTTCAAATATGGATTATTGAGTTATTTTTGATCTATTTAACAAAAGAAGAATATTTAAGTTTGTTTGCTCATTTGCTCTTGTTGATATTTAAATTTTTCAATATAAAAAAATGTGGAAATACCTTTTCTTGGAAACTTGTTCAACTTGTCTTTTTGTCTCTTCTCGAGTTCTACTAAGAGAATCTACTAACTGCTTCTGTTCTTCGTACCACTGCTGTTCTCTTTGAAACATGAAAAGTAGGAAATGTTGCAACAAACAGTTTCCCTGGACAGTCAAAAAAAGTAATGCGCCATAACAAAGTTTACAGCATTCATAAATTCAAATTATTATATTACCTTTTCAGGTCTTCTTCCAGGCTTTTATTCTTTACCTGAACTGTTGACAGCACATTTTCAAGATCATCTTTTACTTTCTCCAACTATAAGAAAGTACAAGCAAACCTATGGTTTGCAGGTAGCCCAGTCTGTAATATTTTTTCTAGGTAAACTTACTTCCGTAAACCTCCTAGAGAGGTAAAATTATCTGTAATTTCTTAAATACAGCTATAGAGTGACACACTACTTTTAAATCCAGTTGAACTATTTAAAATTATACTGCCACCAGCTGCTCATTTGTGTCTTGAAGCTCTGACCTGAAGCAGATTACGGAGCACACACATGAACTGCTCAGCTGATGAAAGACTGAGGAGAAGATCTGCAGTACCAGGCCTGTGTTGTCTCAGTGCAGCTGCTTACAAGAATAAATCCATGCTAATTGCACCAACATAAAATATATAGCACTCAAAAAACAAAGATACTACAAAGACTAACTGCATCCATGAATTAAATGGTCCTCAGTGATATGGACATTCCTGGGAGACACAAAAGGGAAAAATAAAACTACTTCAGCCAGAAGCTGTATGCGCTGCTAAAGATAGGGAAGAAAGGACTCACAGTGGACTGAGTTTTTCATTAGTGCATCATATTCTACAAAGTAGTATTTCTAATAGTTTATGTGTTTTGTTTAATATATGATTTGGATATATTCTGCCTCTTTCCACAGGAGGAACTTTCATATTTATCTCAAAGAAATAAAAATTTTGAGAATATTCTACAGAAGCAAATATGCTCCATCTATGCAACATCTGAAAAAAAAATTGGAATCCTAAATACAGCACAAAATGTAATATTAAATCAAATATTCCATAGCAATACAGTCAAATGAAAGTGTGTAAGCAAAGAACTTCTTAATAATGACTCTGAACTGTGGTTGAGTTTCCTATTATGACTGACACTGGAGAAAGGAAAGCAGCTAGGAAGGAGAAAACCAAAAACTAGCAGTGTGGGGTTTGGGTCTTTTTCTTGGGGGAGAGGGGATTTTTTTTTTTTTTTTTTGTTAATCCATAGCCACATCAATATTCTCAGGTCACGCTACATACCAATGTGCGGTCAATATAGTGTAACGATAACCCTAAGACATTCTTGATTTGCTCTTTCTTCCAAGGCTGGAAGAACTCAATAAGTTATTTGCAAATTATTGCCACAGAAATCTAAATCTAAGAATACTGACTTCTGTGTAATACATAATGTTACACTATTTTATATCAAGTATGAAATGCAATATATAAAAACCTTTTGTTAAAAATATTCACTACAACTAGGAAATTGTTGTAGTCATAATACAGGGGAGAAAAATATTATAACAATGCCTGAAGAAACATACACTGTATCCTAGCAGTAGTGCACCACAGGAATAGTTATAGGAAAATGCAGCAACTGCACATAACTTTTTCCAAAGAAAAAAAGTTACTATGTTTTGACAAACAAAAAGACTTACCTCTTTTTTTCCTAATGACAACAGTATATCTGGATTGGTAGAAATCACTGAAAAAAAAAAAGATTTTTTTATTTTATTTTATGCATTAGATGATGCAGACTTGTTTATACTGAAAAGCAGTCTGGCTGGAGAAAATCTTGGGTAGCCCCTAAAGAACCAGTTTGGCTGTAAACAGCAGTTTAACAACATTTTGTGGTGTCCTGCTGGGCTAACCTACTGTCACTTTTCAGCAACTTAAATTAGACTGAAAAAAGTGTGGTGTTAATGCTTCCATATTATTTTTTACACCTGAACTAGCTCAGGTATATAGGTACATAATATTGAATGCGAACTACAGTCACACTTCAGGATAAGTATGCCTATTTTTTTCAGTGGAAGGGATTCTATCAACATTACCAATGTGGGCAATTAAATCCTTCCAGTCTTTCAATTCCTTGTTAAACAACTTCCTGAAGGCTTTACAGTCCTGATTAAGTACATCATGTTTAAAGAACAAGAATTTCACCATCAATACTGTTCAAAAAACAGCCATAGGTAGGGAGATGAAAGCCCCATCAAGGTAATATCTCAACTCCAACCCTGAGCAACAGCAGTATTTAATGGAAAGTACTGCACTATTGATGGATTTGGCAATGTTTCCCCAGAATACTTCTGCAAAACACAGCTATTTATGGCTCTTGAATTTTCTGAATACTGAATTTTAATTGATAGCCTTCAATGGACTTCAATCAATTCTCAGTTCCATGCCAACTTGCAGCATCTCCATAATCACAGGACTTTTGAAAAAGTGAAGCATTTGAATCTCTTAACAGTAGAAATGAAACCTACAGTAACAGAATGAAATCTTAATATGACAGTAATATTTTTTGTCCAGGCTTGGGCTCCAAATCTCTCATCTTAAAAATAATTACTCAAATCAAAGCTTTTCCTTTAACAAAAAGGAAAACCTTTAAGCCTCCCATAAAATCATAGAATAGTTAGGGTTAGAAAGGACCTTAAGATCATCTAGTTCCAACTCCTGCCATGGGCAGGGACACCTCACACTAAAACATCTCACCCAAGACTTTGTTCAGCCTGGTCTTGAACACTGCCAGGGATGGAGCATTCACAACTTCCCTGGACAACACATTCCAGTGCCTCACCACCCTCACAGTAAAGGACTTCTTCCTTATATCCAATCTAAACTTCCCCTGTTTAAGTTTTAACCTGTTACGCCTTGTCCTATCAGTACAGTTCCTAATGAAGAGTCCCTCCCCAGCATCCTTATAGGTCCCCTTCAGATACTGCAAGGCTGCTATGAGGTGTCCACGCAGCCCTCTCTTGTCCAGGCTGAACAGCCCCAACTTTCTCAGCCTGTCTTCATACAGGAGGTGCTCCAGTCCCCTGATCAGCCTCGTGGCCCTCCTCTGGACTTGCTCCAACAGCTTCAGGTCCTTTTTATGTTGAGGACACCAAAACTGCACACAATACTCCAAGTGAGGTCACGAGAGCAGAGGGTCAGGATCACCTCCTTCTCCCTGCTGGCCACACTCCTTTTGAAGCATTAAACATCTACCAAATACAACACAGCTGATTTCATAAGCTTATAGAAGCACATTTTCAGGTAATTTTATAGCTTTTATCTCCACAAACTTTGAGAAGACTTAGATCAGTAGTTTTAAAAGCAGTGTTTGTTCCTAGATGAAAATTAGCAGAACTACTGAATGTCACAATAAACCCCCTTTTACCTGGACAATTACTGTCACTAAATCTTGACACAAAAATTTGAGCACAATGGTCCCAAATTAAGCTTATGTTTAAGAGCTGTTGGAGGTAATGTTTTGTGCTATTATTAGGGCAAGATTTCTTTAATGAAATGAATACCCTACATACATGTGATAAAATTCACTGGTGTGCTTTTATTCACATTCACTGGCGTATTTGAATGTAGCCATATAACTCCCCCTAGCTCCAATTATAGTGAGCCCTCACTACCTGGAATTATCAATTTCTACTATTGGTTTCTAACCCTTCTTTTAAAACTTTTTAAAAACCCCACTATCTTTAGATACCTAATCCCAAGTATGTGGTTCCCATTCAATATTCATATTGTTCAAGTATCATAATAGAAGACCATATCTTCCTAGGAAAGAAATTGGTAACCCTAACTTAGTGAAGGAACAGTAGAGACCTAACACACTGGGACAACGTATTTATGGCAGAAAGAACACTGGTTGCTTTATCTATTATCAGGTAAAGCTTTTTCAATTATGAATCACTATATTTGCAAAAATTAAAGGTCAAAAAGAATTGCCTAGTGATACACAGTACAATTACTAAGCAAAACACTAGCAGATGCTACGAAATTAAAAGCAACTACCATGCACGTTTATACAAAAACTCCTATTAAAATAAAAGGAATTTGGCATAATACTAACATTTTGTAGAGAAAAATAGAAATTATGCAGACACCACAACTGTTTTATATAGTTTAAAATATGGTTGATTCCACTTTGCAAAGGTACAAGTTAAAGTCTATTTTCATAAGCCACATGCTTGTTAAAAAGTTTCAATTCAGCTGATTTTGCAGCTCTAGAACTACATAAATAGTACCAGAAATTTAGGAAGAGACTAAAGTAAAAGCTTTGAACAAAAAATTTGCATTGTGGATTCAAGTCTGTGTGCCAATATTGTGCCCAGAGAAGTGTAGAACTGCCAAGTTATAACCTCTGAAAATAAGGTTTAAAATTGAAATGCTGACAGGCCTTCATTTACAAGAAATGACCTGGCCATTACTAAAGGAGAAACCAAATCAGGCAACCGGCCATTCATGCTCTATTAGTAAATTATATGAAATTAGTATTTCTGCTATTCCTAGTTGAAAACACTATATTTATCTAAATAAGTAATTCTTCCTTCAAAACAAAGAGTAGAAAGAAGCCAAGATGGACAGAGAAGATGTAAATATAGAGTCTCCTCATTTTCACACAAGCATTGTAACTCTATATGAATTCTTAGCAGCTTCTTTTTCCTCCCATCAGAAAGTTAGCCAAAAAGCCAAAACTTTGGCTGCAAAATATTATTTGCATTATAATGTGCATACATCATTTCTCTAGCACAAAATTAAGATTTCTAATAATAAATCTTATCACCTGGGAACAAGAATGATTGAGCAAAGCAAGTCAGCAAGCCAATAAAAACAGGTCAAGCCCCAAGAATATTTTTAAGCAAATGGCTTAAAATTTAAATTTATTCCATATTTAAATAAGAAACCCTAACATCTCCAGGTACTCTACCCAGATAAAAAACTGTAAGTGCTTCCAATTAATTCGCTTTAAGCTACCAGCTTATTCATAAGCAGCGGCCAAGAAGCAGTATTTCCCAAATTCAATGTCATACGTTTGGTCTACTGAACTTCAAAAGAAGCTGGAGACATTACTTTAATGGTCATCTGAAAATGCATTCTCATTTGGACAAATAACAAAGATACTGGAAATCACCATCTGCTGTCTAAAACACATTCCTGTCATTTTCTAAACACTAAAAAACCGAAGCCTCTTCTGTCATAATAAATAGGCAAATGAGTCAACGTGTCCACTTAAAAATTAACTAGTAAGTTTTACTAAGATGAGTTGAAAGATGTTAACAAGTCCTTGACAGGAGACATAAGACTGAGTGCTACCAAAATACTAATGAGAGTCTAGTGTGAACTGTTTCTGAAGTCTCAAAATGGGACATCTGAAAAAACAGACTTCACTCATACTCAGATTCTGAATTGGTTTGTTTTCAGTGTCTGGCCACATCAGCCTTGCAACAGAATGAAATCAGTCAGCACTGATGCTTATGCACAAAAAATATTTTGAAGAACTGAGGAATGTATATCTGATAATGCCTAACAAACTTAAGAGCTACTACTTACTTGTCTCAGTGATTTTTCCTTCTCAGGATCAGTAAGTAATCTGGATTCTTATGTTAAAATAAACTGAAATGTCTTTTACCATCTTTTCTTGACTCAAGATCTCTGACCTTTGTTAAATCCAAGATAAGACATTTTGTTACTATGTAACGGCCTTACCACTAAAGGCTTACTTCAAAGTTTCAGCTAGTACATCATAACAAGACATACTTTTTTTAAGTATTAAAACAAAAATAAAAAATCAAATATGTTATGGTTAAAAAAATGTATGGGCAAATTATTGTTTATTAGCAATACTTGCAAAGATAAAAAATTTGTCCACTTCTTAAAAGACAGAATGAACGCAATTATTTGCCGAAGTAGTTCTCTCCTAAATCAAAAATACAAATGAAAGAAAGAAAATCAAAGAAAGGAGAAACCTGCTGGAGGGTAACAGTATAATGGACTTCTGTGATTTTGTTAGGAGGTCTAACAGTTATTTTTTCCATTTGACTAATGAATGATGATATAAATCATGTATTTATTTGTCCAGAAATATGAGATTAAGTTATAGTAGAATTCGAAGTGAATTCTAAGTTCACTTAGAACTGAAGTGCAAAACAAGTATAAAAATAAAACATACATGCTAATGTGGGAAGAATTTAAGTTAGTTATAGTATGAAAATACAGTAGTTAGTATAGTATGAAAATACAATCAGCAGATATTCAATACACAGTTTAAGATGCCTAGATGAAAGAGACTTCTCAGATGTTTATGAGTATACCTTACATGGAAGCTATTACTTACTTTCAGGACTCCTTTTTTGCCACTGATTATATTCTGCTGTCAAAGCTTTCATGTGCATGACAGACAAGGAAAACTGTATAAGAAGAAAAGAAGCACCTCTTGAAGTGTGTAGAGTTACACTGGAGTAAAATGAGATAGTGTACAAATTCCATTATTAAGTTTATACAACAAAGGACACCAAACAAGCACCCCCAGATCCCTGGGGCTGCTCTCCAGCCACTACCCTCTGAGTTTATATTTGTGCCTGGAGTTACTCTGTCCCATGTGCAAATCTGACATTTGTTCATTAAATACCATGCCACTGATGACTGCCCAATGCTGCAACCTATCTAGATCTCTCTACCAAGCCTCTTGCCCTTGAAAGAGTCAACAGCATTTCCCTGTTTGGTATCATCAGCAAACTTGCTAACAGTGCATTAAACTCTGGCATCCAGATTGCTGATAAAAATATTGAACAGAAGAACCAAACCCTGAGGAACACTGGCGGTGACTGGTTGCCAACTAGACACATCCCCATTCAATACAACCATCTGAGCCCTGCCTTTCAGCTGGTTCTTTGTCCAGTGTTCATTGTACCTGTTCATCCCACAGTTGGGACAATTGTCCAGAAAGATGCTGTGATGGACATTATCAAAGGCCTTACTGAAATCCAGAAAAACTACAATCACCACCTTCCCTTTGCCCACTAAACAGATGAGCTCATCCTGGAAGGATATCGAATTAGTTAAACAGGACTTTTCCCCCTGTGAACCCATGTTGACTGCACCTGATGATTGCATTCTTCTTTAATTGCCTTTCAATAGCACCCAGTGTGATCTTCTCCATAATTTTTAAAGGTACTGAAGTCAGACTAACAGATCTGTAGATTCCTGGGTTCAATACAAGTGCCTACATTGGCAAGGACTGCAGTAAGATTTGATGAAAGTTGCTGACAAAGGATATATCATGACCTTTTCCTCTCCTCCCTATTTTCTATCATGACACATAATGTTAATTTCATCTTTATTTTTGCAACTCCATTTAATCATTGTCTTAAGAAAAAGCCTATCAAGAAAAACTTTTCAAGAAAAGCCTCTCAGAAGTTTAAGTGTTAATTACAAGGGTGCGCTGTGCTTCAGTAAAGTTACAAAGAAACAAAAACCTCACTCTATACCCAATTAAAATTGCACAAAATTTATTTCTACAGATAGGATTTTATCTGAAATAATAAAGAAAATAATTGTATTTTATGTATTTAAATATGAATCATTTATTTATTCTTATTAAAGAGTTTAGAACATAGTTTATTACAAACAAGAGATTAATGTTAGTAATTACATAATAATTACAGATCTGACGTAGTCAACGGATAGCGGAACAGTTCTTTTTGTTAATTATTCAGTCAAGTGTATTGAATTTGATTCTGAATTCTCTTACTGAAATCATATAAGATGGAGATTTATAAGGCCTGCATATTTCATACTTTCCAAATTTGGAGTCCTCATATAAATTCTATTTTAAAGGTTCCTATTTAGAATTTAAAAATAACTAAACTGTGAGCCAGCATTGCCTTTTTGCATGCTCCCCAAAAGTTGTGAGCTACAGGAGCTCATGTTCATGCTTTTAGCATCACACAGTTTGATTCCAATTCAAGCACATCAGTTTCCTAATGATATCCACAAGCAGAGAACAACTACAATTTGCAGATACAAAGTTGTTCCAGAGTAAAACTGAAGGGATGCATATAGTTTCACAAATTACACATGCAATGATTAGGAAATAGTCCAAATGGGTATTGACGTTACACAGCCCTCCATTTTGCTGCCTATGTTAGTCATTTATCAGTAGCGTGTCAGGACTGCATACAACCTTTTTGCTATGCATAAATGCAACTTTTCAGTATTTGCTAGACACATACTTCAGAATACAGTTTCAAAGTTAGTAACAATAAAGTTGTCATATTCAAAGGGTAAGTGAAAACACTTTAATTTCCTTCTTTAGGATACACAGCACATCTTTACAGAAAACTAAGTATTTTGTGAAGCATATAAAAACAATACTGTCTTACCTTGGCATTTGATTTTGGCAGTGTTGCTGTTTCTAGAAACTTTAGCTTGCTCTGACACTTGGTAGAAAAAAAGAACAAAAAACAATGTTTATTTACTCTTCCCTTTTGTAAGAAAGGGACATGATGCTTGCAAATTATAAAATTTGTTTAATATTGGAATAAAAGTTTTGAGTTGGCTCCCACATCCCCCAGAGCCTGACCCAGAACAGCAAAGGAAGAAATATTTTGAAATCAAACCACAGTAAATTTTCTGAAAATTTTGAATAAAGTTCATATTCTCCGAAGTGCTGTCAAACAAAACTTGTTGATAATTTCCTACAGTACTTCATAAACCTAGACACAGGATTCCCTGCCACTTTTTCAATATTAAGACAAGTTTACATGTAAAAACAAATTAAAAAAAATGGCATTAGTCTTTAGACCTAATTCTGTCAAATCATATTTTTACAAAATCTGTGAAAAAAAAACCCTGCACTGTGGGTTGTCTATGGTTTGTGCTATTGTAAATTTGGAAGTATTTTTATTTCAGCTTTAGATAATTTTATTGCTTTGAGTCTACAATTCAGAACTTGCACAACTAGCATATAAAAACCACATAAAATTGTGTGAAACAATTAAGACTCTCAAAACACAAATTTATAACTTGAGTCTTCATCAGACTCAGCAGAATCTTATAGGATGCACAGCATTCCCTCAGACCGGTTTAAAGTTTATCTTTCCTGGTATTCCTGTAAATAAAAATAACTAGCCTTACAAAGTTTTATTAACATAGTGAACCATATATCGAGTGAGATAAATTTTATTCTCAAGGATGTGAGTTTGCATGAGCATATGCTAACAACATAATCCTTCAAAGCCTCTTTATCATCCCTTTCTCTCTCTCCCTTAAGATCCAAATAACTTGTGAACAGCTGTTCAATCTCATCTTGCATGAGGAGAAAGAGAGAAGGATCACAAGTCTCAATGTGCTGGTAGTACCAGAAATAGTACATTGTTTAGTTTTTCCTAGTTTTAACATATACTCCCACTGTAACTAAATCAAAGTATCAGCACACTCAGCATTCTTCATCCCTGCCAGTACTTCTGCCTTTGGCCTGCCTGAAAATCTGTTCTTCTCCCTGCACACCCACCCACCTCCTCCTCGCCCCCTTCTTCTTTACTGGTTTTGTTTCTTTGCAGGGGTGAGGATGGGGAGATGAACATAAAACACTGAGGAAGGTTTACAATCTAGTCTATCAGTTGTGATTTGCATACCTCTTCCATCTGCTTCCAAATACTCTCACATTCCTCCAAGATTTCTTCCTTGGCATCTGCATAACAAACTGAGTCATCAGGGATTTCTTGTAAATTTTCGGCCTAATTGGCAAGCAAACAGAACAATTACCATGTGGCTCTACAATAATAATTAACAGGTTACTGAATCATATGTATTTGACCTGAAATAGCAGGTAACAGAGCAATCCCTCTAGATAAAAAACTTTCAGTTAACTCCCCTGTATTTCTAGATAGCACCCAATCATTCAGTAAACCTGGCTAACTATATTACTATAGGAAAATCTGAAGGTCCTATTCATGAATTTTAAAACTGAATCACAAAGACCTAAATATTCAAAATTGCTTTTGTTATTGTAATGGCAGTTTTTATTTTCTGACAACTTTATTAAAGAAACAATAAGAGAATCTCACATCTATAAAGCCATGCTTTTCTTTCATAAATCTGCAAAGTTCTTAAACATAGTTATTTCTGCTCTGTCTTCCAGTAAATGACCTAATATAGTTCTCCTTGTAACAACTTAAATTCAGAGTATTTTTGACGCACAAAAGTGAAGTGTCCTGCAGGTTACTCAAAAAAAACCCAAACAAAAGAACCTGAAAGAGATGCAGAAAATCAATGAAAGAGGGCACAAGGACAACCAAGAAAAAAATCAACCTAAGTTAAATTAAAAAGTTTGCAAAACTGTTGGGTCAAAGAGAAACATATACACGTTCAGGAATTTAATCCTAGTTCAATCTATAAAGAGATACCAGAATGAAAACAGCAATTAAGAGGGAAAATCAAGAAGGGCGAAAATGGTATTCAAAGGAAAAATTTCTGTAAGGTAGAACTACGAACAGGAATTTCCTAAATGTACAAGATGCAGGAAGCCTTTAAAGATATTTAAATGTCTTGCTAAAACTACCAAACACTTGAGATTAGGAAGAGACATTAACAAAAGATAAATATATAAAGAAGAAATAAACATTTCCGCCGCCTTAATGATGCACAAATTCCTGATTCAAACTTGGTAATTTTCAGGAAAAAAAAGCAGCAAATTATGTTGAAAACCCCAAATAACTTAAAATGAGTGAAATGTTCAACTAGTACCTCCAAATATGCCACAGCAGAATGGCTAAGAAAAAAAACAGAATGTCTCAGTGAACACTGGAAGCATTCTAGAGAAATGAGAAGGAGCAATACTTAGCCTTCCTGGCAAGTTTGTGCATCAATAATTAAAAACAGAGCACTAGAAAATCTGGATTGCCATGATCTGATAAGGTCTAACATGCAGAGATTTTGCAAAGAAAAATCATTATCGTCTTAAGTCTTGAAATGTCTCCATAACATCACAAAGAACTAGTTCACATTATTTATTAAGACTTCTGAAATGCCTCCAGTAAAGTTCCCCACAGGGGGGCTAATAAAGAAACTAAGCTGTCATGAGATGCAACATACTTTTCTTCTCAGACCAAATACTACCAAGGATACAAATAAACAATAAGCCCTGAAAAGATAATTTTCAGCACAGCAAAAAGGCTCATCAGAAGAGCCAAGAAGGTGTGAACGAAACAAAAACAAAGAAGAGGAAAAAAAATGGTGGGGGGAAAGGGGAAAAAAAAGGGGGGAAAGGGGAAAAAAAGGGGGGGGGAAGGGGAAAAAAAGGGGGGGAAAGGGAAAAAAAGGGGGGGAAGGGGAAAAAAAGGGGGGGGAAGGGGAAAAAAAGGGGGGGGAAGGGGAAAAAAAGGGGGGGGAAGGGGAAAAAAAGGGGGGGGAAGGGGAAAAAAAGGGGGGGGAAGGGGAAAAAAAGGGGGGGGAAGGGGAAAAAAAGGGGGGGAAGGGGAAAAAAAGGGGGGGAAGGGGAAAAAAAGGGGGGGAAGGGGAAAAAAAGGGGGGGAAAGGGGAAAAAAGGGGGGGGAAAGGGGAAAAAAAGGGGGGGGGAAAGGGGAAAAAAGGGGGGGAAAGGGGAAAAAAAGGGGGGGGGAAAGGGGGAAAAAAAGGGGGGGGAAAGGGGAAAAAAGGGGGGGGAAAGGGGAAAAAAAAGGGGGGGAAAGGGGAAAAAAAAGGGGGGGAAAGGGGAAAAAAAGGGGGGGGAAAGGGGGAAAAAAAGGGGGGGGAAGGGAAAAAAGGGGGGGGAAGGGGAAAAAAAGGGGGGGAAAGGGGAAAAAAAGGGGGGGGAAAGGGGGAAAAAAGGGA